ACACAAAAATTGATTTGGGAGCTCGGTGGAAGGTGATTTTTGGAGAGATTTTCGCGTGGGTGTTTGGGGTAAGTGATTCCTACCTAGTTTTGATTAATTTCCATGATTTTGCCTTTGATTTCATCATTAAATTTGTGATTTGGGGTGAAAAATTAAGAAAACCTAAGAGAAGTTCTTAGGCTAGATTTTGAGGTTTTGATTGGGATTTTGGTATGGTTTTGAGTAATTTTGATATGGTGAACTCGTGGTTCAATGGGTGTTTGAATTTTGTGACTTTTACCCGATTTTGATACGTGAGCCCGGGGACCGACTTTTTGACTTTTGATTTAAAGCTTCGTATTTTCTTATGGAACTGATTCCTTTGGCTCGTGTTGATTGCATCGAATTGTTTGTGGATAGAGTCGAGGCATTCAGAGGCCGTTTCGCGAGGCAAAGGTGTGTTGGAGTAGAGATTTACTCGGATTGAGGTAAGTAACACTTCTAAACTTGGCCTTGAGGGTTCGAAACCCTGAATTATGTATTATATAATAAGTGTTGAGGTGATGCACATGCCAAGTGACGGGCGTGCGAGCATGAGAGTTGTGACTTGGTCGATTCCATGGAACTGTATAGTGGGTTTAGCTTGTTGATATCCGTGTTTTCATCATGCGATAAAATAATTGAGCTATCAATCATGCTAGAGATCATGCTTAGGCTATGTGCTGGTACTGTTGGGACCCATAGTGGTCGTTTCTTGCTGTTGACATATTAATTTTATTTAAATTCCGTACTCAGTCATATTCATTCATTACATATCATATCTCAATCTCTGTTGCTATTTATTAATACATCATACATCATTTTTGAGCTAGTTTCATGACATTGTGAGCCCGTGAGAGAGAGAGAGAGATTGGAGAGATTGATGACTGAGTGAGGTCGAGGACCTGATTATGAGTGACATTTATGGGATCGGGTTGCACGCCGTAGTAGGTTTTACTGATTTATGCCCAGATCTGGCTTATGATAGCACTTGGGCAGAAGGAGCCTCTCCGGAGTCTACACACACTCCCAGTGAGTGCAGTTGATTTATATTGAGGGATAGATCTTCCCTGGACATGGATCATGTCCGAAGCATTTATACCTGGGGATACATCTTCCCCATGGGCTGGATTGGCCCTACTCAGTACTGAGTGACTGACTGTCAGTTGATGTATATATTTTCGGGATGGATCTTCCGGGGGTCGGATTGGCCATATACAATATTGATTGATTGAGCATTTCAAGAGTGTGAGCACGCGAGGCTTTCAGCATGGTGCATCACATACAACATATGCATTGGCATGTAGAAGTATAGAAGTTATATTCTTCATATCATTCAGAATTGATCTACCTTACTGGTATTGAGTTTAATTGTTGAACTTGAAAGCATGTCTACGTTTTCTGTACTGTTAATTCTATAATGAATTGTATCGGTTGAGTTCGTCACTACTTTCAGTCCAAAGGTTAGATTTGTTACTTATTGAGTTGGTTATACTCACGCTACACCCTGCACCTCGTGTGTAGATCCACGTGCTTCCGATCACGACGGTTGCTGAGTTGAGGAATCCGGATTTCGGAGATTATCGAGGTAGCTGCTTGGCATTCGCAGAGCTTAACTCTCCCTCCCTATCTTCATTTACGTTTCATTCATTATTCTCTAGACGTTGTATTAGACTATATCCCTGTATAGATGATCATGCACTCGGTGACACCTCGATTTGGGAGAGAATTTGTATTGAGTTACAAATTTTATTCTACTTTTATAGGTTTTCCTTAAATATTAACTGCTTCCGTATTTTTCAAAGCTTTTATTGTATTGAAATGGTTGAGTAGTTGGCTTGCCTAGTTCTATGATTGGCGCTATCACGACGGTTTGGTTTTGGGTCGTGTCAAGGCCTCAAACCATTAAGAGAGCCATATACCTTATAAGTATACTCTTATTCTTTTCAGCTACCAATGTGGGACTTTGTTCGCATACCTAACTATCTCCCCCCGAACTAAGTTCCACGTGGTCCACTACCATAATCCATGGGTCTCTACCTCAAACCAGTTCCACGTGGCCTATTACCACGATCCACGGGTCAATTTTCGAGATTCACTGTGTGCCAACATCATTGTTAGAGTATTTATGGGCAATCGAAGTCCACAACTAGCTTCTTTATGTGTGTGTATCTCCAAACCGAGTCTCGCACCATCACTCTGCCATCGACATACTCTTTCCGTTGAACCTGGGATCTGATAATTCTTGTTGGGCTAAAATGGCCCAATGATACTCTTAACCTGGTATGATATTGTCCGCTTTGAGTTAAGTCCACACGATTTTTCCCTAAAAAGCATCACACCATTAAGAGATCCCTATCTCTTTAGGCCCATTTTATCTCTAATTTGAATTGAAACAACAATTTTTTTTTGGCTGTACTAACAGCATGTAATAATTGAGATTGGAATATATCATAGAAACACAACCCTACCAAAAGCATAAAATACCCATTTTCAAAACAAAACTATTTCTCATAAAAATGAAGGGGGGGAGGCAATAATGTATAACTATATGAAATGCTTACCTTCCCTCCATCGAGACCCTAGCTAGCCTAATCCCATCAATTTGTTGTTAAGTTGTTATCATATGAGTAATTATTTATCTGAATCGTAACTACCAAACCAAACCTTAACATTAAAATCCAATTAAAAAAGAGATAATGAAGGTAGATGACATGGCTTGATATCATAATCATAATCCCTATATTCAAAACCTACATAATCTCTACAATACGACATCGTTTTCGTAGCGAAAGTAGAAGGCCCAATGAACAACCCCTATTTCTCAGCTGTAACGGCACGCAGACTTCTAGTTTTCGTTATAATTAATGTATTTTCTTTTACTAATTAAGCTTTAGATTAAGTTTCAACATCAAGTGAGTCCCCATAGTTACCGAAAACAATGACACTTTAATTTTTATAAGTTATAAGGTATGATAATTTACATCCCAACAGCTACTAATTGGTGCCTATAAAAAAATGAAACATCATATATCCTCAAGTTCAATTCATGCTCAGAAGCTCTTGTTTTCTGGAACTACAATTGAAAGAGAAATGTAAGAATAAGCTGTTACACTCATGGTTTTTATTTTTTCAGATATTAACTTATTTATTATTTTCATTATGCTTCTTATCACCCTTTTTGCTCAAGGTTAACTTTGTTCCTTCTGCTATCTCTTTTGATTTTCCGAGGGTTGGGGACTTGGGGGTGGAGGAAGAGGGGCGGAGCTAGAATATAATATACGAGTAGACGAACCTAGTGGCTCTATGTAAATTCCATATTTGTACTAAAAAGTTTATTAAATATATAAAAATATTTAACTGCGAGCTCATATATGAAAAATCAAAACCCATAAACTTTAGATCTTAGTTGCCCTCGGGGACATTTCTGGTTTGTGTTTTTGCTTTTGACGGATTTTTTGGAAGGGAATGAAGTATATTCTTGTTTTTGGCTTGTCGTATAAGAAATGCCGTTTATAATTTAAGACCATTGCCACATGTACAAAAAACTAATTTTGGGATATGAGTTCTCCGGCTTTATAAGGAAATTTACGTATTATGAATTTCCAATGTGCCATAATAAAGATTAGCTCTTTAGTCTTTGTTTTTGGTTTATTGTCAAACCTTGAAAGCGTAAAATAAGTATATAACTATTTCCCTATTTATTCGGAGGAAATGGGAAATACGTACACGAAAAAGAAGTCGCAAAAAAGCCTTCTCTCCAATGTTAGTTCTTGCATAAAAATGAAAAACTCTATCTTTAAATAGAAATAAAATTGGATGGTTTGCATTTAGGAAGTTAATGGAAGAAGACTTGGCTTTTGTGGATAACCACATTATGAAAAAGTCAACACTCAATTTTCTTATTAGAGAAAATTTCTGTTTTGATTGGTTGTTCACTGAACTTCTCTCTCATTAATTATTTCTTCTTGATTTAAGATTATAACAAATTTAACAAACCATTAGAAACCTATAGAAAAACAATGGCCACGAACAATTCATTTTATTATTTAATGAGTTAGAAGATAATGTAAAAAGAAAGATGTAGCTAGAAATATAAGGAAATGTTGTTACACATCATTAAGAAAAAAGTCAATTAGGTTACCCAACTCTTGCTATTTTACGTAACAAGCGAGAGTGTTTTAGTCTCAATCGTTTAGCTTATTTAGATTTCTTTTGTTTTTTTTTTCTATTTTATTTAATATAAAAGGAAGCATTTTTTTTTAACTTTTCCCATACTTGTGTAGAAACCTTACAAATGGCTGGTAATGGCTTTATGATTTATTAATTATGATTTCTAGTTTGTTCTATGTACGTTCCTTTTCTATTATTTCTTTTCTTGGTTTCTACTTAAAAAGATAGGTGTAGTTGAAGAGAATTAGTTGGTCATTTTAATTAAATAACCAGAATCTTCATTTTAATTTTCAAACCACAAAAAAGCAAAAAGAGAATATTAGATCCCCATAGTCCTAAATACGAGGCTGAAAATAAAACCATAGGAAACCCCAAATTCCTTAGGATTTTCCATTGACAACACGAAGCTAATACATATCCTTTTCCGCTATTATTATTAATTACAAAATCCTGAAGGATAAAAAGCTATACAAGGAATTTCTTACAGAAAGGCTATATAAGGAAAGGTCTTAGCTAAAATGAAATAGTGTCACATAATAGAAAATAAATAAATATTATTTTGACCATGTTCTTACTTCTATTTTAAATCATCTCATTTAGATATTGTCCTATATAAGATTTACACAAAAAGTTTAAATAGAAAAGAAAATAATTTATACACAAATCCTATCATAGGCATAGGAAATCTTAAAAAAGAAAGTTCTTTTTGGCGTGGATAATATGGAATTAAATATTGAACCAAAAAAAGTTTGTTAACCAAAAATACACTAGTAGTCATGATATATATCATTGCAAAATTATGGATAAAAGAAAGTTTCTCTAGGTAGAACAAAAAGATGGTCAAAAGCTGCAACACCCTCACCCCTCAACACACCCTCAAGTACGTGTATATATGAGTTTATATATGTATTTCATTTGTATAAGTTGAGCATATCGCGGGAAATCAGATAAAAACTTTCTTGGAATACCTAATTTTTCTACTTCTATATGGTTTAGAAGCTCTAGATCTATTTTTTTATTTTTATTGATCATAGCATCAAAAACACACCACTCTTTCTCTTTCTTTCTTCAAATCAAAAGAAACAAAACATTAAGGTAATCTCCAAATCCAATGATCATTTTGATTAGTGTGTAAGAATTTTCATCATTTCAATGACTTTCCATCTTCAAATACTATAAATATATAAATTAAACTACGAAGCCTGCACTGCAACATGTTTAATTATTATATTAGTTAAAGTTCTTGGTTAAGCACGATAAAATTCGTTATTCGCTTTTTTGTTTTTCTTTCTTTTGTTTGAGCAGGCCGGCATAGAGACAGAGATTTGTCTCATATTCTTGATACTTTAATTATTTATTAATTTCTTGAATTTCTTAATATTATTATAATAGCATGCCTAGAAAGAAGAACTTTTGTTTTGTTTAACTTTGGTTGTACGTAAAATTAGCAGAAGATTAATGGAAGCACAAACTCAAGGAGGTGCAGAAGTTAGAAGACTTCACATCATATATTTTCTCAGTAGAAAAGGTCGTATTGAACATCCTCATCTTATCAGAGTTCATCATTTTTCTAGAAATGGCATTCGTCTCCGAGGTTTGTTCTATAATTAATTATATACTATAAATTAATTTTAATTTTTTTTGTTTTTCACTCGAAATGAAGATAGGAGTACATATTAAAATGATTTGATATATATAAGCTTTGATTAATGGGGTTTTCTTCAATGATTGGATAATTATAGATGTTAAGAGATGGTTGGGAGAATTGCGAGGAAAAGACATGCCTGAATCTTTTGCTTGGTCATACAAGAGGTTAGTGGCAAGTTTTATAATATAATCTCATGAAAAATTGATTGCTCGTTGAGTTGTTAGCTTAAAACTTAGTGTTCTTCTGTCAAAATAAAAATACATGAACACCCGTGGTTTTTCTTTTTCATTTTGTTTCATACTTAAAAGTCATTAGTTTTAAGGTGTTTTAATTTACTCGGAATTCATTTTTATATTAAGTCCACTAGTCCAGTACATATTATTCGTCGTTTTTCCAAATTGAGTTTGATAAAAAAATATGGGAGTATGGCATTTTAGAAAATTACAACCGTTAATTTATTTCTTTTTCAAGTTCATTCTTACTGCTCCACTTAGTAGAATGTTAATTGAGTGAGACATTTAAGAGTAAGATAAATGGTAGTAGTATAGATAAATACTTTTATAAATAGGCCGAAAAATTACATTGTAAATATAAGGAAAAATTTATTTTGTGCTTTTATATTATATTTTGAACTTCTTGCCATAACGTAAAATTATAGCACAGTGATCGTCAAGGGGATTCAAAACCTCCTTGAAGTTGTTAGTTCAATTTCCCGTTGGTCATATTCCTTTTTAATTTTTTAACATTTTTTATTTTGAACCCCTTAGCAGATATTCCATCTCCACCACTGCGGAGGTAGTACCTTGTTAAAAGAATTCAGCTAGTGTTGAGTGTATTATTGTGTGGTATAGTTGTATATTTGTATCTTGCGTAGAAAAATCAAAATTGAAGCACAATGCTCATTTACAAGTAATTAAAATTTAATGTTATGATTCTTATGCGATTGAGAATCAAAATCAGCATCTCTAGATCAATCTAACAAAATATTGTGCATATGTCGTGGAGAGATATGTATGATTCGGAAGTTATGATATTTCCTAAAAATAGAAAAAATGAGGAAGTCAAAAATGTGATGCAGGAAAT